CTGGAGCTGCTGACCACGGCTGGAAGGAGAGACAAGGAGCACCCGCTTTAGGGTCTGGCCAGCTCCCCAAGGTGAAGGGACCTGCATCACCCCTCCCGAGCCATGGTGGGGAGCGAGGAGGGGTGGAAGCGGAGGAGATACTTACAGACGCTGACGGCTCCGACGCCCTCTCCAGCAAGCCTGTTGGGAAAAGGGAGAGTAAGTAATAATGCCAAAGCACAGACCAGGCATAACGTTGACCACTGGGACCATCAGTTCAGGCTTCCATGGCCTTCAGTGGGGACTGTCCTCTGGAGAGTTTGTGAAAGGCAACAACGCTCATTTTTATTGGTGCATCAGGTGCCAAGAGCAGGAGAAACTGATCCTTTCCTACAAAGCTCACGAATTGAAGTAATCCCTCTCTCTTCCCTAGTTTTACACCACTCGGTGCTCTGGCCCCTTGGGCTGAGCTGTTTCTTTGAGCCCAAGGAGATGCATCCTGCTCCGGAGAGCAGCTCACAACAGGTCCGTGTGATTGTCCTCACCTGCTCTCCTCGCCCTCCAGCAGCTTCCTGTAGGTCGCGATCTCGATGTCCAGGGCCAGCTTGACGTTCATCAGCTCCTGGTACTCGCGGAGCTGCAGGGCCTGGTCCCCGGGGAGCGGCGGGGCCAGGTCAGCCTTGCCTTTCTGCAGAGCATCTTCCAGCTCGGCCAGCTTGGCCTTGGCATCCTTGAGGGCCATCTCCCCGCGCTCCTCCGCCTCGGCGATGGCTGCTTGCAGGTTAGCACACTGAAAGCAAGGAAATCAGGCGGTTGTTTAACTTAGGCTACCCCAAACTGCTCTTTTGAGCATTGCTGTGGTGTTGTAGGCACTGGTGGTGGCTCCCAGGATGTCACCGAGAGTTGCTAATGGGCCATTAGAAAGGTGTCTTGAGGTGAGTGACTGGGGAGCTGCAGCCGTGATCCTGCCCCCCAAGAAAAGGAGAGACTTTTGCGTCTCTTTGCTTCACTACTCACCTTTGCTGAGGTAGATTAGTAGCTCACAATTTGCTTCCCCATCAAGAAAGCACCTAACACAGCACATCCATGCACCGAGAGACCTTCTCTAGCAGGCAAAGACCGAGGTTGCTGTGCCCTCTTCAGTGCGGGGGGGAAAGCCCAACCATCCAGCCCTGCTCCAAGGCCAGGAGCTGGCTCTTTCTGCCCTGCTTGGCCACCATCACCTCCCGCCTGCCCTCCTCTGTGCATCAGCTTCTCTGAAGGAGCATCCCCCTCCTAACCTGTTTTTTCACACTCTCGATCTCGTTCCGCAGCCTCTGGACCACCCGGTTGATCTCTGAAATTTCTATCTTCGTGTTGCGCAGGTCGTCACCATGCCGCCCGGCAGAGACCTGGAGTTCCTCGTACTGATAGCATGGAGAGGAGAAGGATGCTGGTTAGGCACCACAGGGCTTGGGGAAGGGTGAGGGGACTTCAGGGCACAAAGTTAGATCCGGGTGCAAGGTAAGGGTGGGGGACAAGATTCCTCTGAGCGACCTGTCCATGGAATAACAACATTTGCCCTTAGTTATCAATATGTGCTAAGGCAGCCACTGTTGCATTGTGTGGAACACCCAGGGGTGGTCGCCTACTGCTGAGAACCTGGAAAGGGGAGAGGAACACTCTGTGTCTGAGGCCAGATCGCCCAGGGGCTCTTTGTGAGCCTGAGGTCAAGGCATTTAGGCATCTTGTCCCTTTGTTTCACTACAAGGAATGTAAGTCTGGTCAAGGGTAGTCGTCCACAAGTGAGCACTAGGACCTACCAAGAACCTATCACAACACGCATAGGAGATAAGTTAATCTCCGGTGTCATGGTGTGATAACTCTGTTAGTCGCCCTCCCATCAGCTAGCACGTGAGTCACAGAAAGCGATCCATCACCCTGGCTGCCCACCTTGTTTTGGTACCAAGCCTCAGCCTCTGCCCGGCTCCGGTTGGCAATGTCCTCATACTGTGCCTTGACCTCCGCGATGATGCTGTTGAGGTCCAAGTTGCGGTTGTTGTCCATGGACAGGACCACGGAGGTGTCGGACACTTGCTGCTGCATCTGGGACAATTCCTGCAGAAGGTGCAAAAATCTAAATTAGTGGTCTGGTGTCTGAGGTAGAAAGCAGGAAGCCCTCTGCTCCAAGCCATTTTCTTGCATTTTCCCCCTGCTCTGTCTCTATCCACCCTTTCCTAGCTTACATCTGCATTATAGTTTCAAAAAAGCAGCAACCACCTTCTCTTCTGCTGCTGCACAGCACTGAGCATGGCGGCCGGAGATCTGGGGTGCAGAGGCAGGGAGCTGTGGAGGGATGCTGCCGCGGGGAAGGCTGAGTGCTCACCGTTTCATAGAGAACTGTCAGGAAGTTGATCTCATCTGCCAGCGCATCTGCTTTGGCCTGCAGCTCGACCTTGTTCATATAAGCACCATCCACATCCTGAAGAAAAGAAAACCAAAGACTTGGGATGAAACCACAAGCCGAAGGGGCTTCAGGACACCAGCAGGGCCATGTCTCCCCTTCCACATCTGTTATCCTCTCAATTTGTTCTTATATTGCTACGATCAAGGTTTGCTTTTAAATGTAATGCTGGACATTTGGTGTGAACCAGTTTCTTGGGCAGAAGGCAAAGCTCCGACTCATGGCGTTGTGACCAGAGACAGAGCTGAACTGAGCCACAAGAGATGGTTTGCAACTGCAACTTGATCAGCTGTCTTCAGAGAACAGGGCAGCTCCCTCGGCATGGAGAAGGTTGTGCCCCTTCGTGGCTTCAGGAGGATCTGGCCCATTCTTACTCCTAGACACGTCAACATCACAGCCTGACCCAAGCGTGGAGCTGCCCAGCTCCCGTCAGCTTTGCTTGGACTCCGCTCGTGCCAAGTTAACTTCATTGTCCATCCCACAACTCCCAGTTCACTCACCTTCTTGAGGACCACGAACTCATTCTCCGCACCAGTGCGCCGGTTGATCTCATCTTCGTATCTGTTAGGATAGAAGGGCAAGAGGGTTTTTGGTGGAAACGAAGAGCAGAGCCAGTGTGGGAAGCAGAGACGGGACCGCTCCAGTCCCAAATCACGAGTTGTGGCTCACAGATATATCCCTTACACCCACCTCTTGCCTGCTGGTGAACCTGCAAGGCTCCGTGGTGTGCATAGACCCAGCTAAAATTAATAGATTTTAATCACTGCCCTTCAAGTCGAGCTCTTACATAAATGCACGTGGGATCAGAGCCTGATTCGGTAAGAAGCAGGAGCTACAGGTATTCTTGGTGACCTTTGCCCAAAGCAGAGTTATGCAAAAGGCTTTCAAAAAAGCTACATCGCAATGCTTACAAATATATAATAATGTAACTATCTGATATCTGATATTATAATAATGCTAATGGCTGCGAATAACCCGCTGCAGCATTTAATTAAAAAAAAAAAAAAGTCCGTGATTCTTCAGCCATGGTTGTGCAAGGGCAGATCATTATGCTTCAGACTGCATTTCTGTGGAAATTTTTATGGCTCTGAGCAACATCCTCTCATCAGATAATCAGGGCAGGGCTTAGCTAGAAAGTAGACAAAACATGTAGATTCTTGAGGCAAAGACCTGGATTTGAAAGGCAGGTTCGTGCCAGTCCTCTAACTAATATTGGCAGAGATATCCCTGAGATGGATCTCTCAGTGGACATGGGGAGAGGTGGAAATTGGCCAATAGGCTGGGAACAGACTCTAAACTTGAAATAAGTCACGTTCTCTTTCCCCAACAGTAGCTCCGAAATCCAGACAATAGCGTTTGTCATTTTTGGCCTCATCAGTATTTCTAAAAGCCTTTGACACGTATCGAGACCTGAAATGCACCCAAATACGACATACCAGAAGCTACCTCAGTCCATCCTGTCCATCCAAGTGCCATCTCCCTGTCATCCTCCTCCCAAAATTCTGCCTCTTCACCTGCCTAACTATCAAATATAAAAATATTTCAGGCCTCCGGGGTGTTTTTCTCAAATTTGCACTTGGCCAGATCTGGTTGAATAAGGGAGAGATTGTTCTTGCCAGGAGACAGCCAACTAAAACCGAATGGCCTTGCCTAAAAAAAACCCACCTAAATGTCCCTTACACTCAACTGACATGTCCTTAAGCCAACTCACCCCACCTCCACTGGGCACCTTATCTAGGATGGGATTAATTTCCCCCCACCAGGGACATAAGTTTTTTTGACAACAGCCAGAGAAAAGAGCTGAGCGTCTTCCAGGTGATGGGAGCTGAGGGTCACCCGGGGCCCCCTGGAGAGGCCGGGATTTCCTTTGCAAAGTGAGAAATGAGGGATTTTGGAGCTGGCAGCCTAGGGATGCGCTGCATTCCCTTTTGTCACGTCCCTTACACTCAGGAGTTGTGTGTTTTTCTGTCTCCAGGTGTATTAATTCAGAAGACTCGAGGGATGGGACTATGACCTCCATTACACTGGAGCAGGTTCCCATGGGTGCGAGGATTTGTGCTAAACACGTAAGAAATGTGACAGAACCACAGGTAATTCTGACACCAAGTTTGGCTTTTTTGCGTTTGTTTTGCAAACTGGAAGAGGAGCCCAGTACAAACGCGAGCACGAACCACCTGGTTTTTCCCATCTGTTAATCATTTATGCTATGGAGCACGTTTCCTTACTTGTTCTTAAAGTCTTCCACCATGTCCTGCATGCTCCTCAGTTCAGAGTCCAGCCGTCCCCTCTCTCCCAGGAGACTGTCCAGCTGCCGTCTGAGGTTGCTGATGTAGGATTCAAAAAGGGGCTCGAGGGATTTCCTGGTGACAGTGTGACCTTGCTCCTGGAGGAGGCTCCACTTGGTCTCCAACACTTTGTTCTGCTGCTCCAAAAAGCGCACCTGGGAAGAAACAAAAACCAGGCACGTGCCAAAGCCCAGTACACAAAAAAAACCAAAACACCTTTGCCAGGAAAAGGAGGGATCGTTCACTCAGGGAGGAAAGGTCAAGAGATTCTGGGATGGTTGAGGGTGTGAATTATTAGGATCTTCCTAATTTAGGGCACCCAATTCTCGAAAGCATCAAAAAGAGTTAAGATGTTTAGTGAGATTTTTTAGGAGCTGTTAAGCAGGCCAAACATTCGTATTTGTGACTTTAGGTGTATCTACCCGCCCTGCCCTGCCATTAAGTGCTCAGCCCACCTTACTGGTTTAAACTGGTGTTATCCCATTGTATTGTGTATGTTAATGGCTGGACTCGATGATCCCAAGGGTCTTTTCCAACCTGAATGATTCCATGATTTTTACAACCAGTAGAAGATCCATCCAACCCCTGGAATGTTTTTTTACAGGGAGGAAGGGGATTTATTTTTTTGCTAAAATAAGGGGCTGAAAAACTCATCCTTGCGAAGAGGAAACATAAGACAATTCTTAGTTTTCAGCTCAACCCACAGTTTGCTGGCTGGGATCAGTTCAGGCAAGCCCCTAAATCCAAAGGAAGCTTCTTCCTCTTGTTTTGTCCCGAGGCAACTGCTAACATGCATGGCTCGATGTTTAAGACCAGGCTCTCACCTTGTCAATGAAGGAGGCGAATTTGTTGTTGAGGGTCTTGATCTGCTCCCGCTCCTGTGTTCGCACCTTCTGGATTTCTGGGTCGATATCCAGCTTGAGGGGTGCCAGGAGGCTCTGGTTGACGGTCACTTCGTGGATGCCACCAGGTGGGCAAACGGGGAAGCCGGGGCCACCTCGACCACCAAATCCAGGACCTCCCAGCCCAAATCCACTGCCCAGCCCATAGCCGCCACCACCACCTGCTCCTCCTAAGCCAAAACCAGCGCCTGAGCCACCACCATAGCCAAGACCAAAGCCAGCTCCTCCACCAAAGCCGTATCCACCACCGGCTCCACTCCGTAGACCTCCACCGACCGAGCTGTAGGAAATTCTTTTGCTTCCACCTAGGTTATAGAGACTTCTGCTCCCGAAGCCACCACCAGCTCCGAAGCCTCCTCCACCTCCGGCTCTTCCTCCTCCAACTCTGGAGACAGAGACGGAGCTAAAACTGCTTCTGGTGCCACCGCCACCTCCTACAATAGCAGAGCCTGAGCTAAAGCCCCTCACGCCCCCTCCAGTAGATGACCTGAAAGAGATCCGACTCATGGTGGCTTGTTCAAGTAGAAATGCAAAGAGCAGAAGGAAGAATTAAAAAAAAAGGCTGGCGAATAGAAGCTGAGCGGCAGAAAAAGAGCAGAGGGCAACGGAGACAGAAACCCCTGTGATGGGAGAGCTTGGGAGCCTCCTCTTTTATCTGCTTGGAAAACTTGGCACAGGAATTCAGAACTTGACGTGCCTTGCAGCAACTTGCCTTGCCAAACACACCTAGGCTACGGCGAGGCGCTGAAAAATGCATTGTTTGCAGGCAAGAAAGTAACGGAGTGAGGGAGCTCCCCCCTCCACCAAAGCCTGCCGCTCTGAGTCACGAAATTAGAATTGAATGGGACGAGGTGCTGAGGTCTGCGCTCAGGGGCAGGATGAAACACGATTCTCCCCAGACCCTGGGAGACAGTTTTCCAAAGGCGAGCCAAGGGCTGGCTCGCTTGAGGAAGCTTCCTTGTGCCGAAGCTTTTGCAAGGTTGAAGTTGAGTGTTTAAGGCGTCGTGCAGCAAACAGAGTGGTGCAAAATGGGGCTTCTCCAAGGTTGCCGGCTCTGGCACTGGTCGTGCATGTCCTGCTGTTGGCTTGGGAAAGCAGGGCTGAAGGTGGTTTTATTGATCAGCGCAGCTCTTCTGGTTTCTTTTAGGAAAGGGATTTAAAACAGTGAGGGTCTCGCGGAGATGAGCTGAGTGGGAGTCGTGTCGTGGCAGTGTTTTCTGGGACCTCACCAGGAAATCACTTCCCCTCATTGCAGGGGAAAGTGAGAAATTAGCATGGCTTTCAAAGAGAGCAAGTAAAGCCCTCTTCCAAAATAAGTTCTATTTACATTAGACACTTATAAAATAGTTATTAAAAAGATGCTTGAAATGATTGCTCTTCCTTTGAATCTCACTGTCAGGCTCGGGGTTCAAAAGCTCCCTGTGAAGTGGTATTTTTATCACTTTCTTTCCGCCCCCCCGTATTTACCCAGCAGTTTCCACGTCATTTGCTGGCTCTCCAAGACGTTTTGTGAAGGGGAATTCACCCGCTTTTCTTCCAGCTCCCTCCCACCCCCTTCTTCACTCCCCTGAGATCACTCAGTTGGAACTTTTTTCCTAAAACAGCCTTTGCCTCTTGATCTCAGGTTCTTGGGTGAACCCTTGCCCAGGAGCTTCCATCCTTGTGGTGAGGCTGGGTCGTGCTTTAGGACTGTGTAAAGACAGGAGAATCAGGGACTTTTTCTCTTGTGTCCATGAGGAGCTGGACACAAGTTACAGAAGAAGACATCCCCTCCCTCCCACCCAAAATACTTCTGCAACCTGGATTCTGTCCTGGCTCAACCTCACGCCGCAAGGGCTGCCCATCCCGGCCACGTTGTGCATCGGATAAAAGATTAGTTCGGGGCAGAGGGGTGAAGCCCCGAAAATGATTCTTGCAATCGGCTACGTGAGCAATAAGTGCAGGAGCTTAATCCAAAAAAAACGAGCGGCTTAAGGGTATGTGCTGCGTCTCGTAGCCTGTTTCTGTTGATGTGTTTCCAACTGCCGTTCCTCTGCGTCTGGGAACTTGAAAGAACCTGAGCAGGAGGGATTTTTTGTTTTGTTTTGTTTCGTATCATTTCTTTCCCCTCGCTGCAATCAGAAAAAGCCAGCGCTGGCAACTCCTCTCCTGTGAGCGCTCCTGTCGCTGCTTATTGCCAACAGCCTGAGTCCCCCGCACCCCTGGG